GATCTCCATTAACCGATTTGAGCAACTGTCAAGGGTATCGTTCCACTTAGTCATAAAATCTGGATTTTCTTGGCCAAATGCAGGTTCTTTCTCAATTCTTAACCCTCTAGGGATAATTCCCAATTTTAAATATTGTTGGAGATATTTAATCTCCCACCATTTTGTAACCTCCTTTTCTGCTAATCTCTCCATTTTCTGAAAAGAGAAATTATTCACCTTGTGATTAGTTGTAGATTCTCTGGAAAATAGACTTTCAATACGTCTGTTCCTTGCATCTCTCATAGTTGTAGTCATAAGTCTACAATAAGCCATATCACAAATAAACTTAAATCTAACAGAGAGAAATAATTGCAGATATGGAGGAAAATGTTCAATTACACCACACCTTATGGAGTAAAAAATTATACCCGAAGGTATAAAATATACAGACAAAGAGGTAAGAAGGTGGGTGAATATACAATAGAAACTGGTTGTAACCCAAGTGCAGGCAAGCCTCTGTAAATTGGATACTCCAAATCCAATGAAAAAACAACAGATATATACAAACTAACAGGGCGCCACAATCACTAAATAGGTATATATAGGAAAGAACCATATACTTAAATATATCCCAATCACTGGATAAAAAGATAGTAATTTATTGATACAGAATAAATAAAATAACAGCACAAAAAAGTGCTCAAAACATAAAATGCTCAGGAACCCATAGGTATAGCAGCTCACTAATATAAAGTGCTGAATGGGGCAATAAAGTGCAAATGCTAAAGTGCACAGTATAATAGAAAAGTGCAAAATACTTGGATACAAGTTGGCAGTGTTAGAACAGCATCCAGTTAGTAATACATAAGCATAAACACAGCCCAAAAGGTCCAAGATGGAAAATAGACAGTCCACACAAATCAGCACGAATAAACAGTACAGCCGCTAATACCACAGTCCAGGGTCCCAAAAGATACTCGATGCTCAACGCGTTTCGTCGCTAGACTTCCTCAGGAGCTTCTGTCATCTTCCTCCATCTTCTTCCTTTTAAATCTGCCGGTCCGTCCGCCGGCCGTGATTGCGCATGCGCACACACGTCACCGCGCATAACGTCATACGTCATGACGCATACGCGGCCAGCGTGCGCATGCGCAACCACGGCGGAACGCAAAAAAACTTTATGGTTCATATACACAGTCACATTAAGAGCGATCTATGAAAAGAGCGCTCTATATTAATGCAGACCGGGTTTACAATACCTGCCTACCCCCCTGCTAACCCCTAAATAGAGGAACACTAACCAAGCAGAGGGGAAAATATAAATAGGACAGGTGACAAAAGGAAGGCCAATATGGAGAAAATGTATATAATACAAAAATTAAATAAATAAAAATCATAATAGAAAATATATTAAAAAATATACAATAGGAAATATATGTATATAAAAAATATACAATAGGAAATATATGTATATAAAAATTATAGAAAAAAAGTATACATTAAGGAAAAAAGGGGGTGTGTCCATTTATATTTCCACAATAACCTTCATACTATAACATACAAAGATCTTACAGTAGTAAATCATCTAAATGATGATATCAATACAGGGGTAAATCATCTAAATGATGATATTAATACAACTATACAAATAATAAACAATCAATAAATATATATTAACTGTAGTGGACTATGCTACCAGATATCCAGAGGCAGTGGCGCTGACTAACATACACGCAGAAACGGTGGCTGAGGCCCTCATTGGGATTTTCACCCGGGTAGGGTTACCCCGGGAGATTGTCTCGGATCAGGGCACTCAGTTCACTGCGGAAGTCACCCAGCATCTCTGGAAGCTATGTGGCATTAGGCCAATCATCAGTGCCCCTTTTCACCCCCAGACCAATGGTTTAATGGGACATTAAAACAAATGCTCCGAACATTCGCTGAGACCCATCGGGACTGGGAACGATTCCTACCCCACCATCTCTTTGCCTATCGGGAGGTGCCGCAGGAATCCACAGGGTTCTCCCCGTTTGAATTGTTTTATGGGAGGTTGGTCCGAGGCCCCCTAGGCCTCATTAAGGAGCACTTGGAGGGAGACCACAGCCCCGCCGGTACTCCCATCATGTGCTGGAGTTCCGGAACCGACTGGTGGAATTAACCCGAGCGGTACAGGAGAACCTTCAGGCAGCTCAGACACGCCAATGCACTTGGCATATGATCGGAGCGCCAGGGACCATAGTTTTCAGGTTGGGCAGGTGGTTTTAATTTTAAAATCTGTCCGGCATGACAAGCTACAGTCCGCCTGGCAGGGCACTTATAAGGTGCTGGAGCAGCGATGAGACACCGCCTATATAATTGGTCCATGTACCGGCTCGAGGGGGTGACGCATGCTCCATGTGAACATGATAAAGCCCTACTGGGAATGCTCAGAAGAGGTGACAGCCATTTGTGCACCTCCCTCTGAAGAGTTTGACAACCTTCCCCTCCCAGACCTGCTGGGGGATGGAAAGTTGTCTAGTAACATAGCTCTGGTTAAGCTGGGGAAGCGGCTGAGTCCACAGGAGCGTAGCGAGATACAACAGCTGCTAAGGGAAAAGCAGGACACCTTCTCCAATGTGCCAGGCTACACTCCCCTGGCGACTCACTGGTTAGAGACCCCAGGCCAGTTGCCCCATACCGCATCCCAGAGGTGGTGCGAGAGAATATACGCAAGGAGATCAATGAAATGCTCCAACTGGGGGTCATTGAGCCCTCAGACAGCCCCTGGGCTTCTCCAGTAGTCCTTGTACCTAAACGGGATGGTACCACCCATTTCTGCATGGACTACCAGAGGTTGCATGAGAAAACCGTGTCCGATGCCTACCCTATGCCCCGGATAGATGAATTGCTAGACTGGATGGCTAGGGGCCAATACCTTACTAAAATTGACCTTTGTAAGGGGTATTGGCAGATTCCCTTAGCCCAGGACGCCATCCCTAAGTCGGCGTTCATCACCCCATTCAGTTTGTACAAATTTAAGGTGATGCCATTTAGGATGAAGAACGCCCTGGCCACATTCCAGAGGATGGTGGACTGACTCTTAGACGGATTCCTGTACTATACCTGTGCATACCACGATGATATTGCCATCTTCAGCAATACCTGGCAGGAACACCTGGCCCATATAGGAGCAGTTCTAGACCGGATCCGGTAGGCAGGTAGGTAACCTTAAAACCTGCCAAGTGCAGTATTGGGAAAGCAGAAGCCAGAACCTGCAAAGGTAGAGGCCGTAGCTCAGTGGCCAACCCCTAGGACCAAGACTCAGGTGTTAGGTGTTTTTTTTTGTTTGTTTTGTTTTTTTGTAGGGATGGCAGGGTATGATCGGAAGTTTGTGCCCAGGCCAAATCCCTTACCCGTAAAAACCTTCCCAGTCAGGTAACCTGGACCCCGAAAGGTGAGCAGGCATTCCAACAGATGAAAAACGTACTTGTAAATGCTCCTGTCTTGGAAGCCCCTGATCCAACTAAATACTTTCTTGTTCACACAGATGCTTCTATGTTTAGATTGGGGGCAGTACTGAGCCAAGTTGGTGCCGATGGAGGAGAACATCCAGTAGCATACATCAGTAGAAAGTTGTTACCGAGAGAAGGGAGCTATGCTGCCATTGAGAAAAGTTGTATTTGTATGGACAGCCATTTTCGGTACTCACAGATCACAACCCGTTCGTATGGTTAAACCGGGTGGCAGGGGACAATGCCTGGCTGCTGTGCTTGAGTTTGGAGCGTAGCCGCCTGGAGAAAAAAAAAAAAAAACTGAAACTGGTTGTCTAGACAGACTGACTTGGAAAAAATGATCCGTGAGCTGTGGATGCCAGCAAGAGGGAGCAGTGTAGCAGAAACCCTCTGGCTGTCCAATACATTTCCTTCTTAATTTGAACATAAAAATGTTTTTAGTATGGACTTCTATTAGACTGTCTAGGAAGGTACCCCTCCCCAGTTTCCTGATCCCATTGTTCTCCAACAGGGCATTGTCCCAGGTTAGTTGGAACTGGAAAGCCATGCTTCAGTGGTCCTAAAGGGAACTCCACCTAACTTTTTAACCCACATAACAAACCCCTGGTCTGATCTGAGTGATTTTTGAATATGTCACCACCCAGATCAGGTGATACCGCATTTAGGGGTGTACCTAATGTATTTGGGTTACATCTAGAACTTGGGGGAAAATATGTACATTTTAATTCTGTTAACAGATAAGCTGATGGGAGGAGATGTGTGGTTGTACCTTGTACTTTATTGGTTAATGTACGAATTATTGTGGGTGGCTCCCTTGCATGAGTGCATTGCATAAAAGCAGGGGTTGTGTGATTAAATGTTAGTCAAGTTCTACTCCTGATACTGTGTGTCGTCCAGTTATTGGGAAAGGTGATGGGATATTACTGGATTGCCTTGCTGATTGTGCTTGTTACCCTATTGGATTTACTACTTGTTCCTGAGCCATTCTAGTATACCAGCTGAAATAGGCTGTGGGAGACCAGCTCTCCGCTACAGTGGCCTTGATGTCTGCCCTCCGGGCCTGTGGAGAGATCAGAGAACTCCCCACTAACCTCAGGGCATTTAACCCAGGAGAGGGGAAGGGAAATGACCGATACAGGAGGCAGATTGTTTATCCCGTGAGCAGGCTGTGCAGAGTGTTACCATGGCAAAGTTACTAATCAGTAAGTGACACCAGATACATTGTGGGGGACCAAGAAACAAGGGTTGAGAGGAATGCTGTGACACCCTTTTCAAATCCAAGAAGTCACGTCCAACTAGATGGCACCCTGCTCATTACATCCAGTCACCTCAGTATTGAAATTTCCAGCAAGTCTCTAGCTTAGAGTTAGTCCAGTGTAGAGATGGGCCATAGCATAGACAATGACCCTTCCTGAGAGGGTGTGGGTTACAGAATACAAGTAACAGACACCAATAATGCAAGAATGTTTATTGAGGATCCATTTTACATTACACAATTCATTGGATATAGTCCCAATACTGATCTCAGGACTATTGAGCACAGGTAAGTGGGTTTGAACTATGGTTCTCTATCCTGAGTTTATAAAGAGACTGAGCCAATGGTTTGTAGTTCTCTTGGGAGACCATGAGGTCAAAACAACTGGCTCCTTTCCATATTCCCTCTACAGTAGTTTCATAGCCAAACATGGTTTTGGCCCTGGCACGGTAAGGCACATCCATTTTTCCCTTCATGATGGAAGCTTTGACACGTACACTGGTGTGTGGTTCCAATGTGACCTCTGTAGTAGCAGAGAAGAGAGTCTGTAGGGGGACAGAAGAGAAGCAACCTTGTAAAAAAGCATACTGATCTTTAGTAAAAGCAATATGGATTTTTCTTACAATACAGAGAAAAAGAGTCAGGTAGTTTGATAGTCATGCTGTGCCTAGAACAAAAAGAACACAAGACAGAATTATGGGAGCAGATACAGTAATCCTAATAAGGATTAGGCATATTTCCATAGATCACTCACAGGATTATCAGTCACCAGCCAGGTATTTTAGTAGGCCGCAAGAAGTCATCTGAAGATTTAATTTGGCCTTTGACCGCCATAAACAAGACAATGGATTGGAGGATAGTGGCTCAAACTCTGAACACTGGGATATTGCAAGAGTCATACCAAGTACCATCACAAGCATTTTATGTCTTAATGTTGTTGGTCCATATCTGAATCTACCTATTGGGCAGCTCTGTGGTAGGTTTCTGTATTGCCAAGCTTGCCATTAATATAAATCCAGTAACTGAACTACAACTTCCAGAAGCCTTTTCTCTGGTCACTTCATCTAGGCATCTGCTGGCTTCCAGGCAGGAAAAATTGCAAGGCAGTAACCTTATGTGCATCTCAGCCTCCTTTAGCCTGGTCAGCTAGGTTTTAAGCTACTACTGGCAAATACTATTAATATCCCTCATCTCAAATCAGTAAATAATGTTACCTCGATTTCATTGGTTTTGGTAAAGTTCCAGGTATGAGATGTACTAGTGTTGACTGAAATCTTCCCCTCTGTTTCAGCTATGAATGGGATCCCAGCTTTAAATGTCAGCTCGGCTCCAACCTGAACTGTGAATCCATGTTCCTGGCCGAAGGTGCTGGTAGTTTTTTCAGTTTTTGAAACCCTAGCATGAGAGAACAGGGACAGGGTTAGTTTTTCTCAAACAGACTAAACCAGTCTAAGCTTGTACAACACATGTGTTATTGCTTTAGAGGGCTTCAGTTTACCTGGTGTCATTAAGGGGGTTATAGTGACCTAGCTTCCAGAAGCCATTTGCTTCCAAGTGACAAGCCATTTTAACACTGACTCAATGCAACACAAAGCAATCAAGGCATACAGTTAAACCATAGTCCTGCCATGACTATTCTTGGAGAGGAACAGCCCAGTAATAGAAAGCCTGGAAACTCAATTTTCACTAAAGACATATTTACACAGACCGATGCACACAGTTCTACATCTGAATATGATCTGATTGTAAAGAAGCAAAGTCTAAGACCACATTGTCTAAGAAATACATTGGGCAAATGTGTGAATACAACCCTACAAACATTGTTCTTACAAGCAGCATTCACACAAACATGCAACCTTACAAGATGCTTTCCCCTACAAGAAGTCCAACTAGCAGAGTTTCTTTGCTTGCTACAGACAACCCTGTCCCTATGACAGGAATGGCAGAAGTAGGAACACCGTCCCCAGAAGATGCATTTGAAGCTAGTCAATAAATTAATTTTATCTCTCCCAGCGCTCTCAAAAACAGCATCAAAGTGAGGCACCAATTTGGGGAGGACATACGCTTGATAAAGAAGCGTTAGGGCCGAGACGTTGCTGCTTTTGCCCCAATAAAGCTGCTATTTTAGTGATCACAGAGTGCTTGAACCACTGTTCTGCATATATTGGCAGGGACATGTCCACATTGGATTTGCCCTCTTGAGTTGGCTTTCAACAGGAACGTGCCCTAGTCCAATATGGAACCCATAGAGTTACCCATTCTGGAATGAGGTTTTTGAATACCTACGTGTGGTTTACCTGAGGTTTTATACTTACGTAAAGGTATATTTAAGAGGAGCATCACTGGTGTTTGTGAAGGTTTCATTTTTCAGCACTGTAGGGTCTTGGGATACAATTTTACCATCATCTGGAAGAAATTCAAGGCTCTCAATACTGGAGATGATTTTGTCACAGGTGAAAGCAAAGAAGAGGCCTGCACTATAGCCCCAGCCCATGTACTCAGCATCTTTATGAGCAAAGTTGGAATGTACTGCTTGAGGTGACCATCTAAACATTTTTCCAGTGTAATCATTGACACACCAGAATGATCCATCAGGACTGAAAGCCATGAAATGAGTGAGCTGGAACCAGTTCTCATTGCCAACAGGTATGCATGTCGCAAACCAGTCGTCCTTGGAGTCTGTTGGGGGGTTTCTCTTCACAAGACGGCCATCTGATTTCACTGCATACAGAATGCCTTGAGGATCAAAGAAGAGGGCCCTTAGTGAGTTCCACATACCAGATCCTATTTTGGTGGCTTGGCGATAAAGCCAGGGCATGTTTTCATTGGTTGGAGCGGGACCCTTGTAGAAGTCCCCTTTGCCGGTTACTGCATATAAGACACCATTGGGATCAAAGAGGATAAATTTGAAGCTGTCCCAGTCAACTTTGCCAACCTTTTTGGCAACATTGAACCATTCCAAGCCTTGCTCTGAAGGCATAGGTCCTCGGTACACATCTCCACCACGGACAGCAAACAGTTCCCCTTCAGGACTAAAGAAAACCCTGGAGGCATTCATTATTTTCCCTAGAGGAACTGCTCGCCTAATGTAGTTGTCATCTTCATGACTGGGTGGCAATCCAGCTCCAGCAACATATTCTTTCCTGGTTACAATGAAGAGGAGGGTTTCTGAAAGGTAAGGGGAACAGATGTTAGGACCTAAAATACAGCAACAATTTGTTTTTATTTAACTTTACCTATAAACAGCATCATTTAGGGTTACAATATCCATTTCAACTGTGAGATCCATCAACGGTGTGAGTGCTTGTACAATTTACAAGCTCAGTTTTAGCATGATCTAGCATTTGGCATAAGTGAATGAGGCTCTAACTCCTGCACAGAAAGGAGACAATAGAAGTAAATTCTAAGGAGACTGGCAATGTAGAACAAATACAACAGGACTGTATCAGAGGGGGGATTGGGGTTAGGAGAGATGTCAATCGGAATGATTGCAGAGGAACCAAGAGAAATGTAGAATGCACACATGTAACTGAACAAGTTTCACAAATGGCATAAATGAGATTGGGTATACAGCTAACTGGGGATATTTGAATGGTGGCAGTGCACGGTGTAACTAGCCAGGGACCCGTTTAATATGAATGCTGCTAAACCATTAATAGAACATCTAAAAGACCCTTAGATAACTGCATTAATTAACTTCCAATCCAAATATTATTTTAGTCCTATCCACACCTCCCCTGACTAATACATACACAGCAACATGAAGTTTATTTTTACACACTTCCCTATGCCTCTGCTTACCACTATGCAGGCAAGGACAAAAGGCTATTTCATTGTGGTGGACCACAGTAAAGAAAAATGGACAGGTCACTCTCAGAAGGATCTCAGCTGCAGCCTTTTCATCATCCCTTTATATCTGAGACAGGGGTCAGTCTGTGCCAAGGAAGTGACCAGAGGCTTTTTGAAAGAAAGCTTTTGTTTTGAGGTGTGAGCTTGAGGCTTTCCATTCATTGAGCTGTCCCGGAAGCCCAGAGACATTTGGAGAAGGCAGGCCACTCTAGCACTTTCCTCTCACATTAGCTCTGTAGCGCCAATGAAGTGGAAGATTACCTCCACAGCTAGGCTGACTGCTGGTTATTTGGTTTCTGCAGAGATCTATAGAAGGGCATATTTCAAGTACCAGGTCCAGATTTAGAGACCAGTGGGCCTGGTGCAACAGTAATGAGCCCAACTATATTCAGCCAAAGAAAGCCAGTCATGCATCAGGTATCTGATGGAGTTGGTGCTGGAGGGAAACTCATACACCATCCCTCCCCCCAGTGTCCAGTTGAATGTCAATGGGCAGGGTAAGAGGGCCACTGAAGCAAATGAAATGCTGAAAGTAGCAAACCTGCCCCAAAAATTGGAATGCCAACTTAACACGCTTGCTCCATGGGATTGCCCCCTTGTCTCCTTACTAGCAGGAAGAAGCTCCTGGTGTAAAAAAAAAATAAAAATGGTGTATGTAGGTAGTGTAGAAGAAAGGCGATATGCCACAGTGTTAGAGAGACCAAAGTCAGCATTACCTTAACCAATTTCACTGTCAACCAGTCAGCATGAGTTTTGTTCCCATACATCTCTTCAAGTTTCCATACTTAAGCAAGAGTATATGAAGAGTAGGGTTTAAAAAAACAATAAAAAAATTAAACACGCAACAGAATCAAGTCAGTTCCTGTGTTAATCCAGCCCGGTCAGTCAGCACTTACACAGCCCAACAAACAAAAATGGTACATGGAATGTTCCTTTAAAGGGACATGCATCACTTTGGCAGAAGTGTCTCATTCAAAAGATTTAGCTGTTAATGAGAGTTGCCTAAAAAAAATATAAAAAAAAAAAAAAACCTACACGTAAACGACTACTATATACCCACTTTAACCTTTTTATGCTTTCCAAACCCACTCCAGGTGGACACTCATTTAACTAGTGTCAAATCCCCAAAAGTTGCTGGAAGAGTGCACTGAGCAGGCCTGACAGATTTACACATGGGCATTTGGAATATCTCTTCGTATGTTTCTAACAAGTGATGCAAGTCCCTATAGGTCAGACATTCTTAGCAGAAAGGAGAGATGTTATGCCACATGGAGAGCAAGTGGAGAATTTGTCTACAGAATCATCCAAAGATTCTAACTCTAGGACAATGTGGATGTGTAGGGAGTGGAGACAAGACAGTTACTCTGCCTGGAAATTTAACTAGGGTTGCCACCATTGTTGAAGTTAAAGCAGCCTTGCCAATTTTCATAAATTAGTCACATTTGGTGACATGGGATAAGTTGAAAAAAGGTTACTTACATTGTGTGTCAGTATAGGCATTGTTATGCATGTGTGGTAGTGTGTTTCAGTGCATGCGCTGTGTAGAATTGTGACATTCTGGGTCTATACCATGTTGACGTTCTGACTGGATTTCTCTCACCGCTTTAAGAGACCAGTCACAGAGTTACCAGCTTTTACCTGGACAGCATTTTTGCAATACTAGCACCAAACAGACCAAGATACCAGCCAGGTGGCAACCTTAGAGATGACAAATCACTGGTCAGAAAAACACCTCCATTGACTAAAAATGATCAAAGCAGAAAATACAAAACAAAAACAGTAATGTGAACTTCCCATGCTACAGGGATCACTTACCTACTGTATCCATTATCACAGCAATCAGATTACAAACTCCCAAATCTCTAGCGTTCCAGCAGGAATTCCTCGTGTTTGTGTAGACAAGGAAATGTCTATAGATATCTCTGTACAAGGTCAATATCCCTAGTGCATTAGCTTTATAGCCAGCACCCCTCCCTAAACACAGCTGTACCTGATTTAATCAGCATGGTTACCATACTCTGTGCTTATCTGGTAAAGGAAGGGTTAACTCTATCATTATACATGTGATCACCCAATAATTGATCGATTAAAGTACAACAAAGAATATGGTACTTTTTTCTATGTAGGGATATAGAGGACATAAATAAAATATATATTTCTTTGCAGTCACTTTTTTTTTAATTTAGTATTTCTTTAGAAGGTTTCCTCGTCCATCCTACATTCTATTTGTGTTTTCCATATAAGCTGCCCTGCTTTCTACAGTTTGATAGATATGTATGTGTTTATTCACTAAATAATTTCCTGTTATCTGCTCTCCGGTTTTGTCCCTTGTTTCTGCCACCCCAACACTGATCTTTCCACTTCCGGTGACAGGGGTCTTCTTCCCATAATCCTCTATGCCCGAGGAACAAAGCGTGGGTGAGGGGGGTCATTGTCCCTTTGTCTCCCAGGCACAGAACTCTTCAAGAGCTTCTGTACCTGGGAGTCCCAGCGCGGAGTCCCAGCGCGGGAAAGAATCCTGCCTCCTGGGCTCCCAGGCACACAAAGACCTCCAAACCTGCCATTGTCCCCAAAGGATATCCATACCAACCCCAGGGACCATCACTGTGGCGAAACCGACCACGCCACGTGTCCTTGGAGGGGGCTGCTTGCCCGCCTCTTGCCTTTGGACTATGGACCAGACTTTATGTGAATGTGTAAACCCAGATAGCTATGCCATGGAGCCCATTCGTGTAGTTAAAGACTTCGGCTCCATGGCAATTGAACTGTGTGAATAGGAACTGAGCGCTATTCGGTAGTTTTGTGCGCTCAGATCCCAGCTGAAATGTCTGTGTGTTATGTGTAAAAGGTGACTTTATGTATTTTAAAGTGTTTTATGTCTTTTTGCAACGATGTGCTTAATGGAGTCTTGGGTCTGTCCTTAGAGATAATTGAATTACTTCTCACTTATCTCCAGGATAGAAGACTCTGAAACTGGTTTGGGCCGGAAAGCCATGCTTCATTTAGTCACAAAGGACTTTCCCTTAACTTTTGAACCCCTGGTCTGATTCGTGCCATTTTTTAATATGTTGTTCCCCTGAATGGATTGATTATGAAAATGTTTTATGTTTGTGACATGTATATTTTAGAAGTTATAAATATTGTGTAAAAACTGTATTCCTCTGATAATGAGATTATCCATTGTGTTCAGTAATCATATCACATGCAGAGGGGATGATTTTGTGTGGGAGTGTCTGGGTGTATTGTACGGATTGATTGGTTGTTTTGTAACGCCCTGTGGGCTGTACTATGTTTGTGGATTGGGAATAAAAGAGACTGTATGTGACAGTACAGGAAGTTCCTGTTTTAACCCTCAAAGTGAAGTGTCGTCTCATTATTGGGGGAAGGATTTATTGTATGCTGTTCCAGTTTGACTGCTAGAAGACTAAACCTATTCGTATGGTTCCTATTCAACTGTCTACAGCATTCATATGCTTGAGAGCATTCATATGCTTCTCCGATTCGGTGGTTTTGGTGTCTGCTGCAGTGCTTGGAGTCCTCAGGAAGCGCTAGGAGCATCCTTCAACGGAGGTACCCAGTCGGGGTGCCAGGTGATCCGTTACAATCACAACGATACCTGTTGCAAACAGCCCCCGTTCGAAGGGTCCCTGTGTGAAACCAGGCAAGGGAAGCATCTCCTTTTCGGGACGAATGCTCCCCCTGGTCGCCGCCCGTTTATACTAACGGCGGCCACTCGGGGAAGCACTCACTAATTACTTCCCTTGCGGTTTCACGCTTGTTGTGGAGTCTTATTGCCGTTTTGCACTTATGTTGCAGCTTGGGGAACGTTCTAATTGATTGGTGTGAACATTCCAATGGGCCCTGGGCAGACCTCATTCGGTAACGAACAGGGTACATTTGAGACACGAACGAGGATGGAAGCAGTTTATGGATGCTCCCCCTGGATAGCTGCCAGCGATATGAATGAACAGCCACCCAGGGAAGACACGTGCCAAGGCTTCCCTTGCGGTTTTGGCAGCAGGTCGAGGTGTGAACGTTCTAAATCAACATTCTAAATAAGGTATTAGGGTGGTCCGTGATCGGGAGACTAACGTATGAGCTCTCCCGAACAGGGAGCAGCAAAACACATGAATAATCACAAATACATGGGGAAATACAGGCAATAGCATAAAGACAATTCACGGACAGGTACAGTTCCCGCCACAATAGTTAAGATCCAATAGTGACTTAACGTAATGTATTGAAAACAAAATAGCAAAACCGAGTCAAGAATTGTCTCACCATTATTCACTGTGAGAAAAAGCCTCATTGTTTTTTTATTTTATTTATTTATTTATTTTTTTTGCAGTGCAGATAATGGTACATGTAGACCTGTGGTACCCCAACGGCAATCCACTGGTTTGGCAATTTGCATAACAATTGAGGTACATAAACATATGAGCACAATTTTATAAATTTTGCAATAGCTTGACTTTCCAGATTAGAACTAATAGCAAAACAAAACTAGTGTGACATGTATGCGTAAAACAATTGTACGTTAAACTAAGGAGAGCATATGTTGGTTAACTCTCGTGTGACATGTTCACTATTGTAGTATGTAAAAACTTGGTATAGCATTGCTTGCAGGTGCTCTCTCAACGAATGTTGCGTTAATTAAGCGTTTAACCAGGGTAAGTAGCATTAGTATAATCACGTTTATCTAGGCGTGCTAGATGTCGTCTGTTTCAGTGCGGCAAGGCTTGAAAAGATTGCGGGACAAGGCCCTCCAAGACAGCATGGACGTGGTGGTGTGGCAGCAGTCCAGGCCGCAGTGCGGCAGTGAGAGTCAGTGAAAGTCAGCCAACTCCTGTAGTCGGCACTGGCAGGGTGCATACCGGAAATGTCCCCGTTTGGGATCGGTGAGTGTGCAAGGGCTGTTGGGGTCTTGTAGTTGTACCTTGCTGCTGATGTCAGTTCGCCCCAAGGGTGGTAGGTGCTTGGTACCGGCTTTCAGCGTGTGTCCGTAGGTGTGGGGACTTGCTTCAGTGGCCGGAGGCTTCGGATGCCGCTGATCGGAGAGTGGGTCGGGCAACTTGTGGCCATCTTGTGCTGCCGTGTGTGAGGGCTAGCGTTGGTGCCTGGGAGGCCCTTCTCTGTTCTCCCCCGTTCCGATCTCCCACCTCGTCTCCGTCTGAGAGCCGCTCTGGGTGCTCTGGTCGGGCATCCGCTCAGGAGGCGCCTGGTGGCAGGTCGGATCCATGCCGCCGCTTCTTTTCTCGCTTGTTTGAAGAGCCACCCCCTGTTGCGGAGCCCAGACTATAGGCTGGTGCAAAACCGGTCAAAGAAGTCCAGGGCGTGATCGGGTGGTGTGGCAGTGGAGCTTTATGCCGCCGATCGTGCCTGAGGCACCATCTTGTTTGGGCCTTGCCAAACCCTTGTACCAGCAAATGTTGTCGCTTGTGTGTGCTTAGTTGTGGGGGTAATCATCCCCAGCAAGGAAATGGATATCCCCTGCCGGTCCAGAGGAGGAAGTAGCTGGATGTCTTGCAATCCATGCTTACGAGCGGGTCCCTTGTCGGGTGATCAGCCGCCTCCCCCAGACTTCAGGTTCCGCTGCAGTGTAGGCCGCGTGGCCAGTTCATGTGTTCGCGTATCGTAGTGGTGTATCGTTTCGTTCCTCGTGTGATGCTATATCGTTGTCTGGGCACCGTGGGTTATTAGCTTGATTGGTTTTGCCAGGATTGTTAGTGTATGTGTCAGTATGTCTGTCAGTGTGTGTTTCTGTATGCGTGTGTGTCAGTATGTCTGTCAGTGTACGTCTGTCTGCTGTGTGTTTGTGTGTGTCAGTATGTCTGCCAGTATATGTGTCTGTCAGTAGGTGTCAATATGCCAGCATGTCTGTCAGTATATGTGTCAGTGTGTGTGCAAGTGTGTCTGTCCGTGTGTGTGTGTCTGTCAGTGTATGTATCTGTGTGTGTCAGTATGTCTGTCAGTGTGTGTGTCTATGTTGAGGCCCCTGCGCTCTGCCAAAGACCTACTCATATCATCTGTCCGTATGCCTACCTCTAATGCTCGCCTCCGAGATTTCTCCAGGGCTGCACCTCTTATGTGGAACTCCCTTCAGTTCTCCATAAGACTTTCACCCATTCTCTGCTCATTCAAAAAAATCATTGAAAACTCACTTCTTCAAGAAAGCATATCAATTAAACTGTTAGCAGGTTTTTATCCCCAATCCCCCATGACTCCTCTCCTGCAACTGTCAAAAATTACCTACTAAGCCCTCAATGAATACTTTTCTAATAAACTACTTTGAACTCCTACTTTTACCCTTTGTGTCACTAGATCCCACTTCCTCTAGAATGTAAGCTCATTAAGCAGTGCCCTCCACCTCTCTGTTCCTGTACGTCCAATTGTCTGGTTAAAATTACATGTCTATCCACCCATTGTACAGCGCTACGGAATATGATGGCGTTATATAAATAATAAAATAATAATAATAATGTTCATGTCAGTATGTCTGTGTAAGTATATCTGTCAGTATATGTGTCTGTATGTGTGTGTGGCAGTATGTCTGTCAGTGTATGTTTGTCTGCTGTGTGTTTGTGTGTGTCAGTATATGCCTGTGTATGTGTCAGTACGTCTGTTAGTATATGTGTCTGTCAGTGTGTGTCAGAATGTCAGTATGTCTGTCAGTATATGTGTCTGTGTCAGTTTACGTGTCTGTGTATCTGTATGCGTGTCAGTGTGTGTATCTGTATTTTGTCTGTGTGTGTATAAGACGGATTTGGGAATTGTTACTAACAATAAACTAGGCAACAATATGCAATGTTAATCGGCAGTTGCTAAGGCCAGTAAGGTATTGTCATGTATAAATATGCGATTAATTCTCAGAATAAATATATAATTTTTCCTTTTTTTTTAAATCACTGGTAAGACTTG